TTTGGCTTGGCATCTAGATTTTGACGAGAGCGACTTGGATGCTCTTATGTTTGAGGGCACGAGAAGCCTTATGCGTCTCTGTATTCATTACGAAATCGTATGTGCGAACTTTATGTATCATATCATAGTACTGACTCCTAAAAAGGGAGCCAAGGGCGGAGTGGTGGGCAAAACTGCCACACTTGAATATGCATCTTTAGAGCGTTACGAATTACCCAATAACTCTGGTCATCAACGTTGGAATTGTCGAGACCTGTCGTACTATCTTTTGTGGTTGGTCAATTCTAGACCCGTTTTTTCCAACATTTTATTCGCAACTACAATTCTCAAATCGATTCTGGAAATTACACATCACAGAACCAACATGGCCAACATGGGCGTTGCCCAGAAGGGGCTCATCCAGTATATGTCAGACTTGCACCTAGAAGTTGGCAACCAGTATTCTACGTTTGACTTTCCAGCCATGTCACCCTACCTCCTGATTGCTGGAGACGTAGGCAGCTTGGCCGACTACGAGGAGTACCTCGGTTTCATCCGCCGTCAGACGAACCGCTTCGAGGGCGTGGTGCTCGTCCTGGGCAACCACGAGTTCCACGGCCTTGACCACGACAGCGCGATTGAGCGGGCGCGGCGGCTTGAAATGGAGCCGTCTCTAGAAGGGAAGCTTCACATTCTACACCGCGATAGATTTGACATCCCCGGCTCGCTGGTGACGATTCTGGGATGCACGTTATGGTCTCTGGTTCCCGACGAGGCCAGAGCGGCCGTGACGGCCAAGGTCAAGGACTTTGAGCACATCGAAGCGTGGACGGTTGACGACCACAACGAGGCGCATCTGGAAGACGTCGCTTGGTTGAGGAGGGCATTGGGCAATGTGCCGGAGGAGAGGTCGGTCAATGTGGTCACGCATCACGCGCCGTCGATGGAGGGGACGTCGGAGCCCAGGCATAGCGGCAGCGTTTGGTCTTCTGCGTTTGCTACGGACGTACTGGAGGCAGGAGGTTGGGAGAGGGTTCGGTGTTGGGTGTTTGGGCATACACATTACTCGACGGATGAAGTCGTGCAGGGAGTTAGATTGCTCAGTAACCAGAGAGGATATGTGCGCGAAGGAGGAGTTGCGAAGGATGGATTTAATCCCGGCAGAGTGATTGATTTATCGCGCTGATTCAGAAGGAGTTTTCTGAAATTCCAGTATAAAACAGACAAAGAAAGGGAACAAAACTTGAGAGTGCTCATGGAGCGTCCTTCCTTGTCTTCCGTTATTGTCGTCGTCTTCGTTGTCGCTGTTGTCCCCCTTGACATTGTTCGTCTTCGTCCCGTGGTCGTCTACGATCCGTCTCTAGCGCAGGTCCTGCTGACCTCATAGCTGCCCTGGGCTGTTTGGCTGCAACTGTGACGCGCCTATCTAAACGGCGGGGTATTGCCCCGCACCTATGATGCTCCGTAGGTAGTGGCGCCAAACCAACTCCTGCCCTTGAAATCCAGAACATTCCACAACACAGCGATTTTTGAACCGCAACGACAGAGGCCCTCCTGGCGACATACATTGCATCGCCAAACACCGCCAAGATGCCTGTCGACTACAGCAAATGGGTAAGTCGCGCAGTCCCCGTACCCCGCAGTCATTCAGCCGCTAATCAAGAACCCTCCACAGGACGCGTTGGAGCTCAGCGACGACTCGGACGTTGAAGTGCACCCCAATGTCGACAAACGCTCTTTTATTCGCGCCAAGCAGAACCAAATACACCAAGAACGACTACAACGGAAGCACCAGATAGAGACGCTCAAGTACGAGCGCGTCATCAACGATGGCCTGATGAAGCGTATCTCTGGCTTGCTTGAAGCCCTCAAATCCCACGCTTCCGAGGCAGAGACGCGCAACCCTGGCGAGGTGGCCTTCCAGGCCGTTATGGAGTCCGCAGGCAAGCCAGAAGACGACCAGCCTCCCCCGCGCCCGGAAGGCGTCCACACCGAGTCGGAGCCCCTGCCTACCTTCTCCAAGATGATGGCCGTGCTGCTGGACCAGGTCAACAAGGAGCTGGACGAGAAGAAGCCTGAGAACCGCTACCAGGGCATGCTCGAGGGTGTCGAGGGACACTTGAAGAAGGTGCAGGGCCTGCAAAAGGAGCTGTTGGCCAAGCTCGCCGAACTGGAGAAGGAGGAGGGCCGCAAGATCACGAGCGAGGGCATCCACACGGGCTTCGATAGCTCGCACGTTAACAAGTCCAAGTCAGAGGGCAAGGAGCCGGAGCGCAAGCCGGAGCTGCTCAACCCCAACTTTGACATGTCGCAGACGCTCCCCCCGAAGGACTCCAAGACCTCCTACGACGATGATGAGGAAATCGAGGCGTCGCCCGCCGCGAAGAAATTTGCGCAGATCAAGGCCGCGGATTACTCTTCCAGTCTTGCGTACCTGTCGAGCAACCCGCAGATTTTGACAGAGAAGGAGACGGATGGACTGCTTGTCCTCGCGTTCGACGCGGCTCTCGAGGGCAAGGACGACTACTGCCGGCAATGCGTACACCAGGCGCTGCTGCTGCAGTACTGTCGGGCGCTGGGCAAGGATGGCGTGGGCATGTTCTTCAAGCGCATCACGACTAAGGGGCACCAGGCACAGGATGTGTTCTACAAGGACGTCCAGGACACCTACGGCAAGATCAGGAACCGCGCGAGGGAAATTGTCAAGGAGCGCGCCAACGAGCCGGAAGGTGTGGAGCAGATCCAGCTGCATGCCGTGGAGCCCGGCACGGAGATCAAGATTACCATACCGCCTGAGGGGAGCGAGGACCCGGCGGTCAAGGAGGGACGGGCCATTTTCGAGGGGTTCAGCGCCGAGTTCCGCAAGGCGCTCGAGAGCGGCAGCTTGGACGAGGTGAACAAGGTGCTCGGCAACATGAAGGTTGACGAGGCGGAGGATATTGTCGGCAAGCTTAGCGAGGTGAGTGGGCTCTTTTCATTTCTTTCGATACGAACGCTTCTATTTGATGAGACATGTTTTACTGACGAGATTGCGAATCGCAGGCCGGTATTCTGAGTCTCGAGGAGCAAATTATCGATGCCACGACGGAAGAAGGCCAGAAGGCGCTCAAGGATATGGAGGCAGCAGCCGGCTCGGAATCCGGCTTCGCGCCGGACCCAGAGTAAAGCAGATGAGGATGAGCTGTGTGTTTGGAGCCGAGGCCCGGATGCTTGAGGGACGAGTATGATGATGGGCAAAGACTGATGACCATGTCAAAAGTAAGCAAATTAGATGAAAACAATAAGAGCAGCATCCGAAGAATTGCACCAAGGCATTGATGAACCAGTGGTAGGCGAGATTCCTGAGTCAAGGATTAAATATCCGCTGATAAGAGTTCCGTTGCCAGCAAATGACTGCGCATCACACAGCCCCAGGACACACCGCAGAAATGATCAGTAAAGCCCACATTGCTTACAGCCAAGAGCAACAGGAATGGATTCACACTTTGTTGAATGCTTTTTCAAGCTTCTTTCTGTCGGCGATTGGAGATTGGCTCTGTACTGTCTACCCGAAAACTCTCGGAAAGGTAGAAGGAGATGATAGTCAATAGGATTGGCCTCACTATGCCTTCCGTGGGGCGAAAAGTTCAAATTGCTACCGTCGTCGTCGGGAAGGCTGGCAAGTGAATTATACACCAAAACATAGTATGCGTAGATGAGAGTCATCATGAAGAATCCGGTTCCAAGAAATCAGGTGATGACCTGTGGAAGAACATTCAGCTTGACTGCTTGATAAGAACGTCTTTATTTTTTTTTGGGATGGGTTGGGGGGGG